ACAAAAAACGGCTGCTAAGCCTGACACACAAGATTAAAAAGAACCCAATACATAAGCTTGAGGATGGCAGATGAGATTCTGCCGAAACGTCGCTATAATAAAAGCACAAATATTAAGACATGGGAAAATACCTGAAGAAACCTAAATACCATACATATAAATACCCGCAAAAACGTAAGAAAATATACATGTATATATATACACACACACACACATATACACACACACATACACATACACACACACACACACACACACACAACAGGGATGTTTTGCCAAGTATTACAGGCCAAGTTTTTTTTTTATTCTTTTAAGATTAATTTGTGATTTTAGATAAGCCACTCAGAGTCTTATGACTGAGGTAACACAGAGATCTTGTACCTTGAAAAGGTAGTCATAATCCATCATATAATAAATGCTTATTTGATTATAAGAGTATCAACAAACTAAAACCTCTTTTGGACTATACTAAGTAAGTGCTATGGTGTAACAGGGACTAAATTCTATATTCTAAATAGCCATCCCAAATTTCACAACTGGTTGGCCGTTTGCAAGACAGATTCTCTCTTTTCACAATTGCTGTCCTTAAAAACAGTATGGGGTGTAGTCCAGGAAAAGTATTCAAAAATTGAATTTGAGTACATACAGATTTGGGTACATACAGATTTCTAGTTGTATAAAATGTCTGACACTGATTTGGAACCATTATTTTTTCATGAAATTTGACTCTGCAATCAAGAGTTTAAATACTAGACAGACTGGAAAGATATCTATTGTGCAAACAGCTTCTTCAACCATTTGAGAGAGAGTAGGAACACGTACATTTTAATTGAATTTTAATTGAATTTTAAAAACATATACTTCAAAACCCACACAATTAGGGACAACCCTTTTATCTATAAACAAACTCCCTCATTCCATATCAGAAACTAATCAGTTGCACAATATATGTAGTAAAGTTAAAATCTCATTTGAGTTGAGTTCAGCTTCTGATGATTTCTGGGATATGTCAATAGTTTAGTCACCGCTTTCTCTTCCAGGATATTTTCTCAACTATCCAGTCTAGCTTACCTCCCTTGCATTACTTATATTTCATCTGTGTACAAAGTAGCCTCAAATCTGCATAGCTTCCATAGTCAAAGTCAGCCAGATGCTGAGGGACTCAGCATGGAAGAATCTCAAGATGCCTTTAGTTACAGAGAGTATTCACAAAAAGGGCAGAATTTGGGATAGTTCTGGCTATTGTTCTGGAACAAATATTCTAATGTATTCCACTCTGTGATTATAATGTAGCTCCTCACATCAAAGGAAAATGAATCAGTAATCAACAGCATGGGGAAGTGGGTGGGGGAGGGAAACCCTTATAATTAGGTCCAAACCTGAAACCTGACTTATTCTTAAACATCTAAATTTCAGGTCCTGGTTTATTAGCTACAAGCAAATCAGAGCATTTAAGTAAAATTTAATATTATGTTTCTTCTTCCTAGCAATTCCGAAGGTTAATTTCATAATGTAATTTGATACAGGTTATTTTGATTATCCTGATCTGTTTATCTGGCTCTCCAAGCACACCCATCCCAGCAATAGGTATTAAAGATAACTAAACTGGGCTTTTGTTTTAAAGAGAAACAAAAAACAAGCACACATTCTTGGATACAGGTAAGAACCACTATTATACCAGTGGTACTGGTTTGAACCATTAACAGGAGCTACAGAATGACTTTGCATTATAAAATGTTATAAATCACACAGGCCTTCTAGTTAATTTGGGCATGTAGCTTTCAAGTTTTTTTTTCTCAAAACCAAAAAGGTATCTGCAAATAATGACAATTACATCTATATAGAATACAAATGAGGCAGTATTCCATTGATTGTGGACTGCTGTCGCTGTACAAGTAGTTCTCGACTTACAACAGTTCATTTAGTGATACTGGAAAAAGCGACTTATGACCGTTTTTCACAAGACCGTTGCAGCAGGCCCCTGGTGATCAAAATTCAGATGATTGGCAACTGATTCCTATTTAGCCCTAAGAGTCAAAAAACTGATTCCTCAGCCAGAAGTAAGAAACTTATTGGAAACGTGCGTGCACATGCACAAGGAAAGATATAGGGTATGTATACACACAATTTTAGTTCTGACTAGACTATGAGCTGAATGTTACTATTTCAAAGTTCTTGTTCTAGCTAGCTAAAAACTATGCAGTTTTTAAAAATTGGCTACTATGTCCAAGTGACCAACTTGTCAACTTTATTTTAAAAACTGTTCATATCTTCATTTTAAATGCAAATATTATTTCCAATTATTTACTTGATCCCCCAAAATTAAAATACCTATGACTTTAGTACTCACATTACTTGTTTCTCCATATTTCTTATAGTACCTTTTAAATGAATTTTTTTTTCATTTCAAAACTTACCTAGTAAGATTCAGATTCAGTATAATAGAAGAATATTTGTTTTTTTTTTTACTATAGTCCTCAATGTACAACCACAAGCCCAAGATTTCTGTTGCTAAGCGAGACAGTTAAGTGAGTTTTGCCTCATTTTATGATGTTTCTTGGCACAGTTGTTAACTGAATCACTGCAGTTACTAGTAACACAGTTTTAAAGTGAACCTGGCTTCCCACTGACTTTGCTTGTCAGAAGATTGCAAAAGGTGATCATAGGACCCCGGGACACTGCAACTACCATAAATATAAGGCAGTCTTCAAAGAGTTTGAATTTTGATCACGTGGCCACGGGGATTTTGCAAGTCGTAAATGTGATAAATGGTCATAAATCACTTTTTCAGTGCTGTTATAACTTCAAACATTCACTAAATGAAAAGTTGTATGTCAAGGACTATCTGTACTACACTTTTGTTTTAGAATAGAATCTACTTTCAACATTTTTAGTATAGAATGTTTTCAACTTCCCTTGTTTACAAACATTTGCATAAGTTAAAAGAGAAATAGGAAAACATTTTCATCAATTATTGGAAGAGTCGCCAAGATTCTTCAATCTTTGTGTAACTGACATAAAACAAGCTGAATTTATATTAAACACTCAACTTCCTGGTCTAATCTTTTGCATTCTTTACCATGGATCTGTGTATTAAATAGGGTCATATCTTCTTAGCTTCTAAGCCTAGACAAAACCAGGCAGGCAATTTCAAGTTACTTTAGTTATATCTTATCATAATATTTTAAAAATATTTCTGTAAAGCAGTGGTTCTTAACCTGTGGTCCATGGACCCCTGGGGGGCCGTAATGTCATCACAGTGAGTCTGTGAAGGCTTGAAGAAATGTTATGATTTATATCTTGAGTTAAGTCCTGGGTGTCCGTGGTCATGTATTTAAAGAGGGTCCGTGGTGAAGAAAAGGTTGAGAACTATTGGTGTAAAGGATTATTTAGGCAATTGAGGATGTACATAATGCATATGTACTGTTTAGCATTAAAAGACAACTTTTAAAGTTTTTCTGGCAACTTCTCATGGCAACTTTCAGGCAACTATATTGTCTCAATCACCATGGACTTCATTTCTATAAGAAATGGAACTAAATTGGGGAAGGGGGGAGGTATTTTTCTTTTCATATATATTGAGTCATTTTTTTTCACATTTAAACTCCCATTCAGATTGCCTAGCACTTCCTTAAATCTTTTTTTAATTCTATCATAACAGGAATCAGGAAGAGCCGAAAGCAGATCAATAATCTATCCACAAAGTAATAATTCAAAAGCAGCATTGCTGTATTTCTTGAGATGTCATTCTACAAATTTTCTTATACATAGGCAAAGAGTGCCTGTGCTTTAAAATCTCTTTTCAATTTACCACGAAAGTCTTTGTATTGAAAGAGTAAACAAAATCTGGCAGAATTTTGCTTACAGGTCAAAGTAATTTATGATTAGTATACATTATTTTACAATGTAAAATTAAAGAGAGATTCTAGAGTACAGCTTTGAAGTTAAAAGTGTGTTCATTATTAAACAGAAAATGCAAATATGTTTCTTAGTTATCCGTTTAGTGATGTTTTATTTTTAATATGTAATTATTCCTGAACAAATTGAGCAATTTTCAAATTGACCTATTTAGATTTGATTTATTGACTCATATTGCTGTAATCATGTAATTAATTTTCACTAAATTTCAAGTTCATTTTCGCACATATACATTTTAATAATTTTGGCTATCTAAAGTTTTCCATTCCACTATGATTCTAATTGCCCATTTATATCTTACAGGTGCTATTATACATAGTAATTACGAATGTTAAAACATTGGCCTTCTTCTCCTAAAGTCAAAAGTTTATTCTAAATTGGACATATTATTTCTTTTGTTAAAAAAATTAATAAAATATATTCAAAACAGTTGGTGAAAACAGTAGTACAGAGAGATAAAACATAGTATAGGTATTCAACTAATTGTATTCAGTAGGCACTAATAAAAAGATTCAGAAAAATCTGCTCAGAGTCAGTCTGGGGTCAGGTAGTCCCATAATCGAATAATAGCTGAACAATAAAACCAATGAACATTCTTGAAAATAGTTCTTTTATTGACCTTCCTCCTTTAACCTACTGCTACTGTTTATATTTTCTGTGCCAGCCAAACCCATTGGTACTGAGCTCATGCTAGGTAAGGAAAACATAACCAGTGATAAAGTTGTTCCCTGTCTCAACAAAGCTTAGTTTCCTTAACTGGCATTTAATATAAGTAGCCCTCAACTTACAATTGAGCCCAAAATTTCTGTTGCTAAGTGAGACATTTGTTAAAGGAATTTTGCCCCATTGTATGACCCTTCTGGCCACAGTTGTTAAAGTGAACCACTGCAGCCATTAAGTTAGTAACAGTGTTGTTAAGTGAATCTGGCTTCCCCATGGACTTTGCTCATCAGCATGGATTGGTCACATCATCTTGGGATCCTGAGACAAAGTCATAACTATGAGTCAGTTGCCAAGTATCTGAATTTTGATCATGTGACCACGGGATACCCCCAACGGTCGTTAAGTGTGAAAAACGGCCATGAGTCATTTTTTTCAGTGCCGTTATAACTTTGAACGGTAACTAAATGAACCGTTGCAAGTCGAGAACTACCCATAACTAGGATCGACGGAAGGCAAACGAACCACCACCAAAAATTCCAGGCCTTTCAAGGTCGACCTTGCCGCGTCAGTTAGGGCGAGAGATCTCAGCTCGGCTGTTGACCAGGCGACTCACCGTCGTGGTCGTAGACGCTGACGTAGGAGATGCCCACCGCCATGCACCACACCACCAAGCTGGCCACATCGGCGTAGCTCTGCTCCTCCTCGGTCACCACCAACCCCAAGTGGCCCGGCAGCTTCTGCAGAGATTTGGCATCCCTCCGCCAACGGCCTCCGGCGCCCACCACTTTCCGCCCTACCGCCGCCGGCTTGTGAAAGGCGAAAGGGTTGGCGGCCGCCGCCGGGGCTAAGAGGGCCCGCGAGGCGGCGGTGGCAGTCGTCGCCGCGCGCTGCCGCCAACGGCTGAGCCACGAACCCTGACCTCCGAACCATCCGCGGCTCCAGGCGACCAGCGCGCGCTGGACGCTGAAGAGGACGTGCAGCAAACGCCACAGCAGGTCGTACGCGACGCTCATTGGTCCGGACGGAGGGGGGAGACGCGAGAGGAGCGGAGCGGAGACCCGTCGGCTGAGGCAGTTTCAAAGGCGGATCAGCCGCAGCGCGAAGGACGCACCATCTCGCCTCCCTTTGCCTCACGGAGACGTTTTTATCTGCCCGGCAACTTTCCGTACTGCAGCCATCTCTCTCTCTGTCATACACACATACACACAATACCTGTCCTGACCTTTACCCTCTAGCCTACGCAGTTGCTGCTCATTGGTCGGAGCGACGCAGCGGTGTCATTTCCGGATTGATAGATTAAATGACGTGGCCCGAAGGAAACTGACGAAGAGGGAAGCCCTAGGATGTCTTTTTGCAGCTAGATATTTAATGTTCTATTGCGACATCTAGTGGCGAGAGAGAGAGAGAGAGAGAGAGAGAGAGAGTGGTTAAAGCTGCGCCGGTTTGGTGGCCGTGTGCGCGATAGTTAAACAAGAAATCAAATGTTGTGACTGGTTCTTTTATTTGCTCAAACTGGATTGCCAATTGTGGAAATCAGTGGGACAAAAACCTGCTAAAATGGTTTATTTCTTAACCAGGAGTTGAACTGTGAATATGTGCACCGAACTAAAACATTATTTGTGCGCCACAGACGTCTGTTTATTGCATCCTTATTTCACACATATCCCATAAATGCATAGAAAGATATTTATTAGGAAAGTATATTCTTCAAAGATGGTCCACCTTTGGGTCCATGCACACATTCATATACAGTACTATATATAAACCTTTTGATAAATATTGGTAACCCCATCAGTCCAGCATATAAACATTCTGAATACAGCTACACCAGTGGTGGGATTCAAAAATTTTTAGTACCAGTTCTGTGGGCATGGCTTATTTGGTAGGTATGGCTTGGTGGTCATGTGACTGGGTGGGCTTCCAACTGGATGGGCTTGGCCAACTCAATGACACTCACGTCAAGTGGTTCCTCACCTGGCCCCTCCCCTCCCAGCCATTCTTTGTCACACCCAGCCTCAATGTATCTATAGTTCTGTAAAAATGTTCACCTTTTTTTGACTTTACTATCTACGTACTATAGATGTACTTTCATGGACCACTGAAAGGAGGAAATGGCTCACATGCTTTACTCAAGAGTGTGATAGGCAACAGGCTTTTAAGGGGCTGCCACAAAGAAAGGGGGACAATGTATTTTCCAAAGCACCAGGAGGCAAACAAGAAGCAATGGATGGAAACTGAACAGAGAGAAGCAACCTAAAACTAAGGAGAAACTTCCTGTGAATGAGAACAATTAACCAGTGGAACTGCTTGTCTCCAGAAGTTCTGGGTGCTCAATCACTGGAAGTTGTTCAGAAAAGACTGGACAGCCATTTCTCTGAAATGGTATAGGGTTCACCCCAAGGTCCCTTCTAAGTATTATTCCGACACCTTTCCCAGGATTTCTACTCAGAGTTTGGCATCCTGAGTTTTTCTGCCTGAGCAAGAGGTTGGATTAGAAGACCTCCATAGTCTCTTTCAACTCTGTTAAAACACACATGTATTTATGCTCTGGACTATAAACATGTAAACTCTGAAAAATACCTGCATTTGGTAATTTGCTATTTTTCCTCCCCCCTCCCCCCGACCATCAGCTGTTCTGCTATGCCACAAGAGTTAGATTAGCTAGAAAGCAGGAAATTGATGGATTTCTTGCTTTCTAGCTAATCTAAAAGCAGAACTGAATGTTCCTTAGGACTAAAGCAGAGATGGTATTCAGCAGGTTCTGACCAGTTCTGGAGAACCGGTAGTGGAAATTTTGAGTAGTTCGGAAAAACGGCAAATACCACCTCTGACTGGAGGTTTTACAGTATCTTTCCCCTGCCACACCCACAAAGCCACACCCTGGAACTGGTAGTAAAAAAATTTGAATCCCACCACTGGACTGAAGCTTCTATTTTTCCAGTGCAGACTCAGGTAGCAGATTGCAGAATGGTAGATCTCTAAGTGAATCTGTGATTCTGTGAGCAACTCAATCTGCCTGCCTGCTTTGCCTGATTTTGGGTAAAAGTTGCTCTTTTTTTAAATAAAAAATTCAATATTTACATACATGGTGTGTTTTGAGTTAATTTTGTGAGTTTGCTTGCAAGCAAATTTTATGTGACAGACTCAGGTAGCAGATTGCAGAAAGATAGATCTCTAAATGAATCTGCAATTCTGCAAGCAACTCCATTTGCCTGCCTGCTTTGCCTGATTTTGGGTAAAAGTTGCTTTTTTAATAAAAAAAATTCAATATTTACATAAATATTTATATTTATAAGCCACGCCCAGCCAGTCACATGACCACCAAGCTGCACCCATAAATTAGGCCACAACCACAGAACCGGTTGTTAAGAAATTTGAATCCCACCCCTGGATGCTGTACTCACAAGCATGCTTGCAGACAGTTGATTCTGTACAACAAAACACAAAAGTTTCTGATCTCCTTAAATAGGACTGAATTAAATTCACATAGAGGAAGGGTATCTATAGAAGTGTATCCTAGGTTCACCTTTATTTCATAATCATAATCAACACCCATATTTACTCAGAGATAGAGATATCATCACCATTTGTGTACTTGCTTATTTCTTTCTTATCTTCCACAGAATAAAGGTGTTATTTATCTATCTATCTATCTATCTATCTATCTATCTATCTATCTATCTATCTATCTATCTATCTATCTATCTATCTATCTATCTAAAAGTAAAATACTACTCAAACATCATCACAAAATCTCCAGAACCGTAAAGCCTACAAACTTGAAATTTGGCATGTATGTTTCTCTTGGCTTCTAGGTGCTCACTAAGAAAGGATTTTTCAAAATGACCATCAGAGCATTAGTATTTCGTATATTATTATTAACATGCTCTGATGCTAAGGCGTTCTACTCCCACTCCCCACCTGAAAAGAAATCTGTTCCAAATGCAAAACACAAGCAGAGAGGAGTTTCAGTTTGTTTTAGTTTCACAGCAGCAACCAGCTTTAGAACAGTTGAGCTAAGCCACACTCAGGCTCCGTGCTGTCTCTTTCTTGCTCACACAACAAATACTGTTTCAGTTTCCAAACAGCCCTCAATTCTCTCACAGACTGACAGGATGCTAGCCAGATGGATGCTGGTAGGCAGAGGCACAATCCCCCTCCCTTATTTTTCTCCTCAAAAACTAAGCCCGATCACATAGTTTCATAGCGAAGCACGGGTATAGAGCTAGTATACATATAAATGCAAGGTTATTCTTCTTGACATCCAGCTTTCATCATGGCTTTCTGCTAGTGATGACCCTCCCTTGACTTCTCTGCCTTTGGTGGTGAGCACACTTCTGCTTGAAGAAGTTCCCAAGTAGAACATCATGGATTGCCATCCAAATACAGGTACCTGAGACAAGGGATGTTAGGAAATTGTAACTAAGAATGGATATTGTTCTGTAGATTTAACACCTTTGGACATTTTTAATTTGCTAATTCTTGTTCTTTAATACTTCGTACATTATTTCTTTTTAAGTCCAGTCTGGTTACAGCATGTGGGACTCTGAAGAAAAAATAAAGAAAAACATTGTTTATCACTTCTATAACTTATTTCAGCAAACCAACTATTTATCCACATAATAACCTGTCATTACAATGAGAAATAAGGTAACATGCCACACACTTAGCTTCCTAGCCAAATGGGCTGTTGGACTGCATTGTAATTTGAGCCATTTCTAAAATTTCATGGTGTATTATGAATGAGATTACAGGAATTTGCCCACCAAGCCATGCCCATAGAAAAACAATTAAAAACATAGTAAAACAATTTGAATCCCACCATTGGCTCCCTGCTCATTAAACCTGAAAGAAAGCTTCATTTCAACCAGTGAAAGCTGGTTCAGACAGGCAGATCTCTGACAAATATATTCACAAATGTATCTCCAAATTTTACCACTTTCAGCTGGCTTCTTTCCAGCTTCAATTACAATATAGTATGAGCTGATTTTAGAAGGAGATCTGTCAATAGATTACCATTTAAATTAAGAAACAAATTATTAAAATATGTGAACCAGCTTCTTGAAAAAGATTGCAAATGACTATTCTCCATGTTAAGATAGGTTAGGCATGGAAAATGCAATGACCAAGAGACAGATTCTGTTATTTCCATCCAGAATCAACTTCTATAAACCAATAAGGGGCGGGGGGGACCCAAATCAAATTGATTTGTATTCCAAGTTCTTTTATTAAAAAAAACTTTCAAAATCAGATTCATATTAAAACCCATATTAAATTGTCACCAAGTTTCAATACAGTATTTCAAGTTTTCTGGAAAGAAAGTAGATTTGTGAGTTCATTTTTCTTTTATTTATTTATTGATATCCCACCTTTATTATTTTTATAAATAGCTCAAGGCAGCAAATATTTTCCCACACATCTTCCTACTCCTATTTTGCACACTCAACAACTGTGAGGTAGGTTGCCCTGAGAGAGTGTGACTGCCCTAAATCACCTAGCTGGCTTTCCTAATGAAAAGAGGATTAGAAGTTATGATCTTCTGGTTTCTAGACTAGAGCCAACTGGTGAATTTTCATCTGGCTTTAGGCATGAAAGCCTGCAGGGTGGCCTTGGGCCAGTTACTCTCTCTCAATAAATGTCATCCGTCTGAAGACAAAAGCTATGTGGAACTAATTCAATCAGCAATTATCTACCTCCACAGAACAGGCATATATTATCAAGAAATTTATTCAAATGTCATTTAAAAGGTTATGCAAAAGTATCAAAATACAGAGTACAACCTTGCCAAACTGGAATATGTGCCACTGGAGTTCCATGGCAAGCTAGGGCCCTCTAGAGGTATATCATAGGATATATGACATCTTGATAACAGGTTTAAGTTTAATTGAAAAAACGTACAACTGAATTTTGTGAAATACATTTTTGAGTATATTGGCATAGAATCTAGTTGATCAAATCAGTGGAAATAGATGATACAGTTCCCTAAGCCTGTGTTGTGCAGAAGTATATCCCTCCACATTCAGTGGAATTTACTAAATTCAGATGGCCCAAATCCATGATGGCATTTTAATTTATTAGAACAAATCAAAATGCCTAAAAGCTTGAATCTCTAAAACTTATCATCAGGTGAGATGCTGCAAAAATCAGGAGATGGGAGGAAAAGTAAAATGAAATGAGCCAGTTGTTTCTCCTTTTTCTCGATCCTATCATCATCATTGCTACCATCACCACCACTACATCTTTCACCA